GGCACCAAGGTGGCCGACCTGGAGGAGGCCGCCCGGCTCTGGTCGGAGCACTACGCCCTCTCCGAGGACCGCTGCACCCACCAGCTGCTCTTTGGCCGCTGTCGGGGGCGGACCCACATGGCCACGCCCGCTCCTGTTTCAGGGGAAGGAGGCTTTGCCGCCCACTTTGGCCCGAACATGACACTGCTGAGCAGCAGGCAGTGCGACGCCGGCCTCCGCCGCCGCACCTACTGCATCCTCTCCGGGTCGGTGCTGACGGTGTGGCCCGAGGTGGAGAAGCAGATTCCCAGCATTCAGTCGCACAAGCTGCAGATTGTCCGCCTCAAGACCGACGACGGCAAGAAGTATATCGGTGAGTGGAAATGGAAGGGAAGAGGGAGGGGGAGGGAATGTTTTGGATTTTGACCTCATTTTTGTTGTATTTTCCTCCTCTTCTAGGCCCCATGGTGCCGCCCTTTCTCGTCACCGAGGTGCGCAACTGCCTCCAGCAGATGGCCAATGGCGGCGGGCCGGCAGCTGCGAGTACTTCCGCTTCCACCACTTCCACCTCTTCCACTTCGAGCTCTGTTGCTGATAAGAAGTAGACGAGTGTTGTCATCGGCAGAGGAAACCCCAGTACCTGATATTCAGTGACACATACTACACCATCATTCTTACCAATTCAGCTATTCCTCTCTCCCTCTCCATTCCACTGCTGCTTTCCACCCTTTCCTCGGTTGTGATCTTCTTCTTCCTTGGTCGTTCAATTTCCCAAGTACTAATGCTATCCAATCCAATGCAAGCACTCTCTTATTCGGTCGATGCTGATCCACATCTTTTGATAGTGACATTTGATGATCTTGTGATACTGATCTCCCTCTCACACCTTCTTCTTTTCTTCTTTTCTTCTCTTCTCTTTTGGGTGAGACATTCAAACACTGCTTCTACTATTTTCTTTTCTTTTTCGTCTTCGTCTCTTCCTATACCTTCGTCTGTGTTTCTCACTGTTAAAAGTTACCTGTTACTGTCATATACTACAACTACTGTAATGCAAACAAACAAAGTAAAATTGAAATGAAATAAAAGTTTTTTAGATCTATTCTGCGAAGTGTTTTGATGCCAACACCCCCTTGAACTTCTCTCTGTTTGAGAATCTCGAATCTTAGAGGAGACTCAAAACGGGAAACTTTCCAGCATTTTCTGGCTGGAAAAGTTTCCGGGAAAAAAAGTTAGTGTGGCTTTTTCAAGTCTTCCCCCGGAAATCTTGTTTTCACCATATCTCAAGAACGGTTTGAGCTAGGACAAAAAGCGTACGAGCGTTTGTGTAGACTGCTAATTGAGATTTTTTAAGACTAAAACCGGGGTCCTAGCTTGTCCCATGCTTGAGAAAACGGCAAAAAACTGTTTTTAAACTTTGAAAATTTGTATCTTACAAACCACTTGTTCTATTTTTATAATTCTTTTTGCAAACTGCTTAAAATGACTGGTTTATTAATTGACATTAACAATTGTTTTCATATGATAAAATTGCCCTATCAAAATAGTAATTTGAAATTTTTAAAACCGTTTTTNAATTTTTGTAATTCTTTTTGCAAACTGCTTAAAATGACTAGTTTATTAATTGACATTAACAGTTGTTTTCATATGATAAAATTTTCTTATTAAAATAGTAATTTGAAATTTTTAAAACCGTTTTTACTAGCTAAGCACTATGTTTACAAAGCTGAAACTTAACTAGAAATGTGCGCAAGTTAATTTTCTTTAAAACAGTTTTTGTTCTGACGCTCTAGCATAAACGGTCACTGAGAAAACTCAGTTCTAAAATTATAAGGCGTGGTTTACGACATTTCGGACATTTGCCCCTTTTTCGGGGAGTTGTCCAAGCGCCAGACAAGTCTCCGAACGGACATGTTAACGAAAAATGAATTGTTTTTGTAGGCGGAGTTACTGCTTCTTCCTGACTCTAGAACATTCAGTTTGGACCCGGTTTTCTTTCTTAAATTTAAGCTTTAAAGTCCAGATTTTAAACTTACCAGCTTCTGTACATTCTTGGCTTTCATTCAGTGCCCTAAGTGCTGGAGATCAATCTGAAAATTCAGTTGAAATTGAGATGTACCAGCAGTGTTTACACTGATGCTGGCCCGCTTCTGCTGCTGTTGTTCCCGCCCCTTTTTGACGGCGGCTGCCGCTCTGCAGAACCGTTTGTGCAGCGCTGGCGGACGGACAGTCTGACAGACAGAAGGAGGGAGAGAGAGAGGCAACAGTGTTTTGCTGAGTCGTGTCAACAACAACAACAGAAGTGGAAGAAGTGGAAGAAGGAGATCAGACGACGTCAAGGAGATTAACCGATTAACCAACAGTTTACCAGCAGATCATCGACATCGATGATTGAGAAGATACTCAGCAGATGAATGTTCACCCGATGAACGGCGGGGGCGCCGGCAGTGCTGCTGCTGCAGGTGGTGCTGCTGCCTGTTTGCCATCCAAAATACCTGCTGGTCCTGGTCCTGGTCCTGGTGGTGAAGGGACATCGATTCACCCCTACCAAGTTCACCCCCCGCAACTGAGGATACACAGCAGCAGCATCATCAACAACTCGCCCACACTGGACACCATTCGGTCGGTGCCCTCTGGAACGGCCGTTCCTCTGCCGCCACCTTCCATCAATTCCACCTCGATCATCTCACCTTCTTTATCATCATCCGCTTCGGCGACGATCATCAGGCCGATCATCACCAACAACAACACCACCACCACCAGTACCGCCTTCCAGAAGAACTACTACACCAACAGCTCACCCCTCTACAGCAATGATATGATCATCAGGACGAGGGGCGCCGGTGCTGGGGCGGCCAATCATTCGAATCACTCGATGGTGCCTCAGCAGCAGCAGCAGCAGCAAACTCCACAGAATAGTCTTCGAATGCCGCTCTTCTCGGTGAGCTCGCTGGTGAACATGCCCAGCTCGCCGGCGCCCAAGAGCCTCGACTTTATGGGGACCTCATCCTCTCACCAGTCACCCTCGATCACCGCCAACGCCATCACCCCCGGCAAAGGATCATCATCAGGTGGAGGAGGGCCTGTGTCACTGCCGCCCACTGCCTCTGCAGCTTCATCAGTCCACCAGGCCATCCTCGAAGCGGGAGGCACTGTGATGGTCATGGAGAGCCCTTCTTCTAATTCATCTTCATCCGGACACACCGCCCACAAGGAGATCTTCTCCGCCTGCAAGATGGGCGACCTGAACAAGCTGAAGCGGTACCTGACGCCGGCCAATGTCAACATACGGGACACCTCGGGAGGAAGGTCTACGGTGAGTGATTTTGCGAGGTGTTTTTCAATCTTCTAAATGCCCTCTTCATACTTCTTCAGCCGCTGCACTTTGCCTCCGGCTTCGGTCGCCTGGTGGTGGTGGAGTACCTGCTGGCAAACGGCGCCAACATTCACGCCAAGGACGACGGCGGTCTAGGTACGGTCTAGTGTCCACACGCTCGATCTTGAAATCTTGAACTAAAAGTTTTTCCGTTCCGCAGTTCCCCTGCACAACGCCTGCAGCTTTGGCCACGTCGAGGTGGTCCGTCTGCTGCTCAAATCAGGCGCCGACCCCAATGTCAAGGACAACTGGCAGTACACGCCGCTGATGGAGGCCGCCCTGAAGGGCAAGGTCGAGGTGACCATTCTCCTGCTGCAGAACGGCGCCGACCCCGCCCTGCTCAACTCCGAGGGACGGCCGGTGCTGGAGCTGGTCGCCGGCACTGGCAGCACGGCCAACGCCGCCGCCATCAGGGCCGTTCTCAGCGGCGAGTACCGCAAGGATGAGCTCCTGGAGGCGGCCAGGGGAGGGGCGGAGGACCGCCTCTCCGCCCTCCTCACGCCGCTCAACGTGAACTGCCACGCGGCGGACGGACGCCGCTCGACGCCCCTTCACCTCGCCGCCGGCTACAACCGACTGAAGATTGTGCAGCTGCTGCTGAGGGCGGGCGCCGATGTGCAGGCGAAGGACAAGGGCGGACTGGGTGAGTAGAGAGTGGAGTACTGGTGAAGTGTGGTACCTTTGCGAGAACACACGTGCTCTGCTTCAGCGGCGGTCTAGCCTGTGGGCCTGTCAGACTGGCGTGAAAACCCGAAATATCGTGGACTGCTCGCAGAGGGCGTGACGCGGATTTAGCGCCACCAGTTGCACTTGGCGACTTTTGGAACTACAGCTTCTCTACCAGTGCCGATAGATAGCGCCCCGAGCTGTCCACTTTTGAAAATAAAAGTGAACGACGCCGCTGTCGCCATCTATCGGTACTGGTAAAATAACTGAAGTTTTACTTCTCTACTAAAAGCGATAGATGGCGACAGCGGCGTCGTTCATTTTTGTTTTTAACAACTTGGAGCGCCATCTAGCGGCACTGGTGGAGAAGCTGTAGTTCCAAAAGTCACCAACCGCAACTGGTGGCGCTAAATCCGCGACACGTCCTTTACGAGCAGCTCACCGAAATGCCCGTTTTCCCGCCAGACTGAGAGGCTTACACTGGTGCTGGTGGAAGCTGTTGTTGATCGCTTTGTTTTGATCGACTCTAACTCTCTTCTCTCTTCTCTTTCCACAGTTCCGCTGCACAACAGCTGCAGCTATGGCCACCTGGAAGTCTCGGAGCTGCTGATCAAGGCGGGCGCCGAGGTGAACGCCGCCGACCTGTGGCAGTACACGCCGCTGCACGAGGCGGCGGCGAAGAGTCGCCTGGAGGTGTGCTCGCTGCTGCTCGCCCACGGCGCCGATCCGACGCTGGTCAACTGCCACGGCAAGTCGGTGCTCGACTGTGCCCCGACGAGGGAGCTGGCGGAGAGGCTGGCCAGGGAGCACCGAGGGCACCTCTTTCACGAAGCCATTCGGCTGGCGGGCGAGGCGGCCAGCGGAGGAGGTTCAAGTGGTGGTGGCAGCAGTTCAACAGGAGGAGGCTCTCTGAGCAAGCTGAAGAAGATGATCAACGCCGAGGTGATCGCCTTTCGGCACCCCTTCACCGGCGATGGCTGTCTCCACGTGGCCGTCTCCATTGGCCCAGTCCAGGGATCATCTTCGGCAACATCCTCAACTCAGGCAGCACAACAAAGCTCCTCCTCCTCAACTCAAAGCACTCCCAAACTTCGCAAACAGCTCCTGGAGCTGCTCATCCGCAAGGGCGCCCCCGTCAATGAGAAGCAAAGTCTCGGTCAGCAGCTGACGCCGCTGCACATGGCCGCCGACCGCGGGGCCACCGACCTGATGGAGGTGCTGCTGAAGCACGGCGCCAAGATCAACGCCCTCGACTCGCTGGGGCAGACGGCCCTGCACCGGTCCTCGCGCATCGGCCAGCTGGCCGCCGTCCAGACGCTGCTCTCCTACGGCGCCGACCTCTCGCTGGTCAGTCTGCAGGGCTACACGGCGGAGGCGCTGGCCGCCACCGAGCCGGTCTGCAAACTGATCGCCAACCACCGGCTGACGTCCAAGGGCAACGCGGAGAGGCGGCTGCT